AAATTGAGTATAAAATAAACAAAATAAAAATAAAAATATGGTGGATCAGGCCTGCATAAAAAGTTAGTAAGACCCACTATTCTGCAAACAAAATAAAGTTAGTATAATTTAATCATAAGTGAATTACAGAAGAAGTATAAAAAAACGCATTGTTTCATGCTTAAATAATTCGAATTAACCAAAACTCAAAGAACAAAAGTTGTACAGAATCAAATTTGCTAAAAGGCATTGTGAATGAATTTAGTAGAAACTGAACAGGCTGAGAAAAAAACTTGATAGAAGAACCTAGACGAAATTCAACTGAAAAATCTGAAACTGAAAACAAAAAGAAACTGCCCTAAGATGATTTTTTTCGAAAAAGTTCAAAACACAAAAAGTGTTCAGAATAATGTTTTACTTCAGTTTACGCGAAATCAATAAAAATGAGCTTGTTTCATGAGTTAAAACAACATCTAAAATTTGCATTGCTAAAATAAATAAAACTATTGTAAACAAGATCATCCGATTATATATTCGAATCGATCTTTTTAATAAAAAGTTAAAACACAAAAGTTGTCTAGAATCACGTATACATGCATATGCTAAAATTTCATAATTTATTGAGATCGTTTACTATATTTCAAGATGTACAAATCAATACAATTCAAACTATACATATAAGTTCATATTTAATTCTTTGTACCTTAACTCCACCACTTTAGCCCTTCACATCCGGTCTACACATGTATCCCATGTGCCTGTATATCTAACACCCCTTTGAAGCCAAACTTGCACAGGGATATTGTCCCGAGTTTGACCGACACTCTCCGGATGGTTAGCATATACGTACATGCGAAAATCAAAGCACTCGTCTACTCCTGAGAACGAGACAACAATAGATATATACAAAACATCTCACTCATGAGAACAAACATAGCAATGCCAAGCCTAAGGCATTCAAATAAATCTCATAATCCTCACTTTTTTTGTATACACTTTTTCTCACCAATACTCAAATAAAACAACAATCCATGGAGTCATGGTGGAGTGTAAGGAATTTATCCATGGGTTCCTAATTTATTTTAATTTCATATATCCATGAGTGTGATTATAATCATAAAATAAATACATATAAAAACCCTAAACCTTACATACATATCTAACCAATTAATGAAATCAATTCATCATCTACATACAAATCAAATTAACATCAAATAAATAAATAAAAACAACGAATTAAATATAAATCAAAGAAAGTGGGTTTTGTACTCACAATTATTTTTCGATGATCAAAGAAATATTTGTAGAATTAATAAAAACCCCAAAATAAAACCCTAACCCTTTTCTTTTTTTTTTCTTCCCTCTTTTTTTTTCTCTCCCCACTGTTTCTCTCTTTCTCAACTCTCTTCCTTGATTAATCTCTCTCTCTCTCTCTCACGATTTTTCTTAGCCGCACAAGCACAATCCTCTTTTTTGCTTTCTAATGGCACATCTAACCTAATATATTATTATATTATATTTTATTATATAATACAACATAGTTATAACATACATAAATATGATATATATATATATATATATCAATATATAAAACATCATTTTTTATATGTAAAAAATATAAATATATAAATATTCAGATTAATTATATATAATTCATTATCACATTAAATTAATTAAATATCACATTAAATTCTCATGTATCCACACAATTAATAAAATCAAAAATAAAATAAAGTAATAAGAATAATAATAATAATAATAAATAATGACTTAAGAAAAAATTAGGGTCGCTACAATATACACACCTCAAAAGAATCTCGTCCCAAGATTCGGTAAGAAAGAGTACTAAACAAAAAGCTCTAAGTGCATATGCCGAACTTTCTCTTCCAATTCCCAAGTGATATCATTCTCATCCTCGCTCCATTGCACTTTCACCGAGTTCTTTTTTTTGCGCCACAACTGCTTTACACCCCGATCTAGAATAGTAACCGGTCACACCACATACGTGAAATCATCATTAATCTCCAACACTTCTAGTGATACTACTTGGGAAGGGTCTTGCACACACTTTCGCAATAAAGATACATGGAACACATTGTGAATCATAGCTAAAGCAGGTGGTCGAGCTAATTTGTTAGCCACATTACCAATCTTCTCAGTGATCTCGTATGGTCCTACAAATCTAGGTATCAACTTTCCCTTCTTTCCGAACCGCATGATTCCCTTCATCGGCGAGACCTTCAAAAACACAAAATCTCCAACATTCAACTCAACCCCCTTACATTTTCTATCAACGTAACTCTTCCGACGCCTCTGTGCAGTCTTAATATGTTCTTGAATAATGTTCACCTTCTCTGTGGTCTCTCTCACAAACTCTGGCCCTAACAACGGCACATCTCCTACCTCCATCTAACAAGCAGGTGATCGACATGGCTTCCCATACAAAGCTGCAAAAGGTGTCATCCCGATACTTGAGTGATAACTATTATTATAAGCAAACTCCACCAATGGCAAGTGTTCTTCCCAACTACCACCAAGATCGAGAACACAAGCTCTCAACATATCTTCTAAGATTTGATTTACCCGCTCAATTTGCCCATCTGTCTGATGATGATAAGTCGTGCTCAGGTCTAACCTAACACCCAAAGCATGTTGAAAACTCTCCCAAAACTTTGCCACAGACAACGGATCACGATCTGAAACTATAGAAACTGGCGTGCCATGAAGTCGCACCACCTCCCGAATATGCAGCCTAGCCAGTTTATCCGTAGTTTGGTGAACATTGATAGGAATAAATGAGCAAACTTGGTAAGTCGATCCACTATCACCCAAATAGATTCATTGCCTCGCTTAGACCGCGACAATCGATCCACGAAGTCCATAGAGATGTACTCCCATTTCCAAGTAGGGATTTCGAGAGGCTGCAAAAGTCCAAATAGGCGTTAGTGTTCTGCCTTAACTTGTTGACACACATAACATTGAGAAACATACTCTCCTACGTCCTTCTTCATACCTTCCCACCAAAACGTCATCTTCAAGGCATGATACATCTTAGTCCCTCCAGGGTAAATGGTATATCGGGATCTATGGGTATCATCCATAATCTCTTTCCTCAATTCAACAATGTTAGGTACACACAACCTGCCCCTGAATCTCAATCCCCCATCTGAGTCCACAGACCAATCAATAGGATAATCATCGATCAAATCTACTACAAGGTTATCGAGCTTGCTGACGAGAAACTCATCTAAATACTACATCTGATGAACTTTACCCAGTAACGTCGACTGCACGGTCAAACTACCAATGTATGCCCTCTCAACACCCTCTATTGGTTGAACATCATGCATCAAAACGAACTCCAAGGACTTTCATTTTTGAATCATCAAAGAAGCTATAATCCCACATTGTCGACTAAGTGCATCTGCAACCACATTTCCTTTTCCTAGGTGGTAAAAGATCTCGAAATCATAATTACTGATGAATTCAACCCACCTTTGTTGCCTCATGTTCATTTCTTTTTGAGAAAAAAGATATTTGAGGCTCTTATGATCTGTGTATAACTCAAAGTGCTCCCCAAACAAGTAGTGTCGCTACACTTTCAACGCAAAACAACTATTGTCAACTCTAAGTTATGAGTAGGATATCATCTCTCGTGAGGTTTTAATTGTCGAAAAGCATAAGATATAACCTTCTGATGCTGCATCAACACACATCCCAACACAGTTCCACTCGTATCAGTAAGCACTACTAACTTTTCCCCTTGTACTGGTATAATTAGCACTGGTGTTATAGTCAAACGCTACTTTAACTCCTAGAAAGCTCTCTCGCAATCATCTGTCCATATGAACTTCACATTCTTGCAAGTCAACTTGGTCATGGGTATTGCGATAGTGAAAAACTTCTCTATAAATCTTCTGTAATAACCGGCTAGTCCTAAAAACTCCTCACCTCTGAAGGATTTGTAGACTGTTTCCATTCTTTGACTGCAACAACTTTCTGAAGATCTACTATTATCCCCTGATTGGACATAACGTGTCCCAAAAATTGAACTTCTTTCTCCCAAAAGTGACACTTACTGAACTTAATGTATAACTGTTGCTCCCTCAAAGTCTGCAACACGACTTTCAAGTATTCTTTATGCTCTTCCTCATTCTTAGAATACACCAGGATATCATCTATAAAGATAATCACAAACTTATCTAGATACGGTTGAAAAATTATGTTTATCAAGTCCATGAAATAGGCAGGAGCATTTGTCAAACCAAAAGGCATTATAGGAAATTCGTACAACCCATACCGAGTCCGAAAAGCAGTAAGCGGTATACTTTCCTCTGACACACCCATCTGATGGTAACCCGTTCTGAGATCAAACTGAAAGAACACGGCTGCCCCCCTTCAACTGATTGAACAAGTTATCAATTCTAGGTAGTGGATACTTGTTCTTGATAGTCGCCTTGTTCAGCTCTCTGTAATCTATGCATATGTGGAGAGTGTTATCTTTCTTGGAGACAAAGATCGCGGGTGCTCCCCACGGAGAGTTACTTAAACAAATGAACCCTTTTTGAAGCAACTCTTTCAGCTGCTTCTTCATCTCCACAAGCTCTTTAGGTGCCATTCTGTATGCCTCCTTAGAAATTGGTGCAGTTCTTGGCACTAAGTCAATGCGAAATTCTACTACCCATCGAGGTGTACCACATCTACCTCACTAATATCCTGCTTAGGGATTTCTACCGAGCACAGAAAACTCATCATTACCAAATCTTCGCCATCGTTAGAAGTGTGGGTAAGCCGTGGCATACCGGGAATATCTATATTTACAGTCTTTCCAGCACAATCTAGAGTCACAAAGTATTTTCACAGCCAATTCATACCCAAAATAATTGTAAACCCCTCAAACCCAAACACAATTAGGTCTGCATACAAGACTCTACTCGCAAAGTCAATCTCAAAATCTTTACACATCCCATAAAAAGTAACTGCCCCTCCTAAAGGGATCTCAACACGAATAGGTCTAGACAATGGTGTTCTCTTTCTACAAACTGTCTAGATATGAAAGGATAAGAGGTACCAATATCAAAAAGTACTCTAATGGGTTCTTGAAAAAGATTAAAGATACCTTCCAACCATCACCTTCAAGTTAAACACACAAAAATTTGTTCATAAATACTAAGAATAAATTCAACCACCCAACTAAACGAGCTAACCCATGTTTCCATAATCCGAGGATCACTTAAACTCTCACAAGTCTAGGGTAACCTAGTGTTCTGATACCATTTGTAACACCCCAACCCTTCACATGTCATCAATATTGTCCGCTTTGGGCCACGCCCGCACGGATTTGTTCTTCCTAGTGGGTCACCCAATCCAGAACTACTCTAGCCTAAGTACGCTTAACTGGGAAGTTCTAATAGGGATTTCACCACCCAGGAAAAAGTCTCGATGCTATATAAGGGTCTAGGTTTTTACTTTTATAGCCTAGGAACTCCCCCTTCATTCTCGATGTGAGACATTGGGACCTTACAATCCACTCTCTTAAGGTTGTAGATCCCCGTGCAGTAGCCTATCAGCTCACAAGCCCACCCATATGCACTGAGAGACGCTAGGGGCCCACACTCGGTACTCCAGAGAGTCGACTCTAATATCAAACTGTCAAGCCCCAAAATTTGGACAATTAAATATTAAATTATGATTAAACCCCAATCAATATTCCATCATCCAAATCCTAGGGGTGAAACAAAAAAACTAAATGTTCTCGTCGCCATAAGGTTTAAGTAAATTCAATGCTAAAAAAAAAATAAGGGATATAAAAAAATAATAATAATAAACGCCAACCAAACTATCCATCATAGATTCATAACTATCCAATGTCTCCAACATTAAAGTCACAATAAATAGTCAAAATAACTTAAATAATGTAAAGTTACAAACCATGCCAAATTATCAAAATACTAAGGTCATAAAAAAATAATAAATACATAAATTAATATCAACCCTAAGCTCAAGAAAACAAAAGAAGTTCAAACGATATGACCAACAACTATAATTATTTCTCCTCACCACCATAGTCCCAACTAATCCTGCAAAGGAAGCTCGGCTGCGCTCAAACAGAACGCACCCGAGATGTCAAGAGACAAAACGGGTCAGTATACAAGTATACTGGCATGAGTACAAATATTTACACCCACGTGTCTACCAGACACAAACAAAAATACATTTAATTCTTATTACGTGACAAGACAAGTAGTTCCATCCGCACTAAGACGAATGGGTAGTTTCCTGAGATACGGTGGCATTTAGTTTTTTGCCAATACACAACGAAATATAAATTGAGTATAAAATAAACAAAATAAAAATAAAAATATGATGGGTCAGTCTTACATAAAAAGTTAGTAAGACCCACCATTCTGCAAACAAAATAAAGTTAGTATAATTTAATCATAAGTGAATTGCTGAAGAAGTATAAAAAAACGCATTGTTTTATACTTAAATAATTCGAATTGATCAAAACTCAAAGAACAAAAGTTATACAGAACCAAATTTGCTAAAAGACAATATGAACAAATTTAGTAGAAACTGTACAGGTTGAGAGAAAAACTTGATAGAAGAACCTAAACGGAATTCAACCGAAAAATTTGAAGTTGAAAACGAAAACAAACTGTCCTAAGATGATTTTTGAAAAAGTTCAAAACACAAAAAGTGTTCAGAATAATGTTTTACTTCAATTTAAGCGAAATCAATAAAAATGAGCTCGTTTCGTGAGTTAAAACAGCATCTAAAATTTGCATTGCTAAAATGAATAAAAACTATTGTAAATAAATCATCCGATTACAAGTTTTAATCGATCTTTTTAATAAAAAGTTATAACACAAAAGTTGTCTAGAATCACGTATACATGCCTCTGCTCAAATTTCATAATTTATCGAGGTCGCTTACTATTTTTCAAGATGTACAAATCAATACAATTCAAACTATACATATAAGTTCATATTTAATTCTTTATACCTTAACTCCACCACTTCAGCCATTCACTTCCAGCCTACACATATATCCCATGCGCCTCCCATATACCTAGCACTGCTCCATGACCTGGTAGTGGATTTGATTGATGATTGTCCTACTAATTGGTCTGTGGACTCAGATGGGCAATTACGAGAGAGACCACGGAGAAGGTGAACATTATTCGAGAACGTATTAAGACTGCACAGAGTCATCAAAAGAGTTACACTGATAGAATACGTAAAAGGGTTGAGTTAAATGTTGGAGATTTCGTGTTTTTGAAGGTCTCGCTGATGAAATGTATCATGCAATTCGGAAAGAAAGGAAAGTTGGCACCTAGATTTGTGAGACCATATGAAATCACTGAGAAGATTGATAATGTGGCTTACAAATTAGCCCTACCATCTGTTTTAGCTACGATTCACAACGTGTACCATGTATCTTCATTGCGAAAGTGTGTGCAAGACCCTTCCCAAGTAGTATCACCAGAAGTGTTAGAGATTAGTGATGATCTCACGTATGTGGTGCGATCGGTTACTATTCTAGATCGGGATGTAAAGCAATTGCGGCGCAAGAAAGTAAACTTAGTGAAAGTGCAATGGAGCGAGGATGAGAACGATATCACTTAGGAATCAGAAGAGAAAGTAAATTCGGTGAAAGTAAATTCGGCGTATGCACCGGGAACTTTTTGCTTAGTACCCTCTCCTATCGAATCTCGGGACAAGATTCTTTTGATGTGTGTATATTGTAGCGACCTTAATTTTCTTAAGTCATTACTTATTATTATTATTACTTTATTTTATTTTCGGCTTTATTAATTGTGTGGATAGATAAGAATTTAATGTGGCATTTAATTAATTTAAAGTGTTATTTAATTATAGGTAATTAATCTGAATATTGATATATTTATATTGTTCATAATAACAAAAAAGTGTTTATATATTGATAAAATATATATCATATTTATATCTATTTATGTTGTATTTTTATAATATAAATATAATAGTCAATTAGGTATTATATATTAGACCTAGGGTTAATCACAATAATGAAGTGTGGCAGAATTTTCAGTAGCAGTCGAGAAAGAGAGAGAGAGAGAGAGAGAGAGATTAAACCCAAAAAAAAATGCACTGTAAGAAATCAAGAGAGACGGCAGAGGAGAAAAGGAAGAAAAAGATTAGGATTTTATTTTAATGACATTATTAATTATTCAAATGATTCTTTGATCTTCAAAAAAATATTGTGAGTGCAAAACTCACTTCTGTTGATTTATGTTTAATTCGTTATTTTTATTCATTTATTTTTATTTATTTGATGTTGAATTGATTTCGCATTTGCATGTAGACGATTGATCGATTTTAATTATTTTGATTAGTTGCGTATGCAAGGTTTAGGGTTTTTATAGGGATTTATTTTATGATTGTAATCACACTCACGAATATATGAAATTAAAATAAACTTAGAACCCATAGATAAATTCCTTACACTTCACCATGACTCTATAGATTGTTATTTTATTTGAGCGATGGTGAGAAAGCCAGTGTAAAAGAAAAAAAAAAAAGTGAGGATTATGAGATTTATTTGAATGTCTTAGGCTTGGCATTATTATGTTTGTTCTCATGAGTAGATGAGAGATTGTGTGTATATATATATATTGTTGCCTCGTTTTCATGAGTAGACGAGTGCTTTGATTTACGCGCGTACGTATATGCTAACCATTCGGAAAGTGTGGTCAAACTCGGGACAATATCCCCGTGCAAGTTTGGTATCAGAGCTCTAGGTTACCCTAAACTTGTGAGAGTTTTTGTGATCCTCGGATTATGAAAACATGGGTTAGCTCCCGGTGTCCCACATCGGCAATAAAAGGGGAGTTCCAGAGCTATAAAAGTAAAAATTTGAACCCTTATATAGCATGGAGGCATTTTCCTGGGTGGTGAAATCTCTAGTAGAACTCCCTAGTTAAACGTGCTTAGGCTGGAGTAGTTCTGGGATGGGTGACCCACTGGGAAGAACAAATCCGTGAGGGCGTGGCCCAAAATGGACAATATCGATGACATGTGAAGGGTTGGGGCGTTACAAATAGTATCAGAGCCGACTCTCCGGAGTACCGAGTGTGGGCCCTTGGCATCTCTCGGTGCATAGGAGCGGGCTTGTAAGCTGGCAGGTTATTGCACGAGGACATGTAGCCGTAAGGGGAGTGGATTATAAGGTCCCGGTGTCCCACATCGAGAATGAAGGGGAAGTTCATGGGCTATAAAAGTAAAAACTTGGACCCTTATATAGTATCGAGGCCTTTTCCTATGTGGTGAAGTCCCTAGTAGAACTCCCCAGTTAAGCGTGCTTAGACTGGAGTAGTTCTGGGATGGGTAACCCACTGAGAAGAACAAATCCATGAGGGCATGGCCCAAAGCGGATAATATCGATGACATGTGAAGGGTTGGGGTGTTATATTAGGGCTGGAATCACAACTTATTAATTCTAATTGAACAAATTAAGTGACGCAAGCAGAAGTGGAATAAAAGTAAGAAAATAATTAAATAGGAAATTAATTCGTTAATGATTGAAAATACATCTATGGAGCTTTTATTATTTTATTATGAGATGACCAAAAAAAATTTAAAAAAAAAAGGAAAGAAAAGAAAAAAAATAAAGTGTAACAGGTCAGCATCAAATTCCGTGCAAGTCCCACTATACGAGATTACAGTTCTTCTTTACATCTCATTACCTGAAAAGGGCAACAGTTATAAGCACACAGCAGAGTGAGAAATATTATGCCAAGAGTATAGGGGATACAAAATAACCATATGTAGTCATTTCAGCTAACATATTAACATAACTTAATTTGAATAATCAATTATTTAAGTGGCAGAAGCTGAAATACAGAAATTATGTAAATAAATAACCATAACCACGGTATAGAATAGAACAGAACAGAACAGAGGTTACTGGAGTGGCAATCAGAACAGAGGTCAATGGATCCATGACAAACAGAGGGTCACAAAGTGACCAATTAGAAGCCAATGGTTTAGTTAAGTCCCCAAGGCATAGGACTCCCGTGGTAGTACTTACAGAAAATAATTGCTTATAAAATCATTGTCAAATAATTTCTAAAATTTAAACAAACATATCCATGTGTTTCAATTTAAGCAAATAGAGTTCAGAAAATAATCAACGTAATTGAAATATTAATATAATTTACAAAACACAAATTGCGTAAAACAGTTATAATAACTCAAAACATACGTAAAATATATTATGATGACTAAAGGTATAATATAGCTCACCTTAATATTAACCATTTACTCTTACTTTCGACTATCACGAACCTTCTCAAAACATACGTAAAATATATTATGATGACTCAGGGTATAATATAGCTCACCTTAATATTAACCATTTACTCTTACTTTCCACTATCACGAACCTTCTCAAAACATACGTAAAATATATTATGATAACTCAGGGTATAATATAGCTCACCTTAATATTAACCATTTACTCTTACTTTCCACTATCACGAACCTTCTCAAAACATACGTAAAATATATTATGATGACTCAGGGTATAATATAACTCATCTTAATATTAACCCTTTACTCCTACTTTCCACTATCACGAACCTTCTCACTTATTAGGCTTTGTTTGGGAAGCCCAACTTGGGGGTTTTTTTGGCTATTTTAGCCACAAAAATAAAATAAACTTTTTAGCTTAATAAGACAAAACATCACATCCAACCTATAATCATTACATTATTTTTCGCACAAAAAAGTCAAAAAACCAAAAGTCCTTCTCAAATCAGGCTTTTTAACTCAGACTAAAATAGCCAAAAAAATCAAAAAATAAAAAAACCAACCCACTCTCCCAACGAAACCTTAGCTTACTATCTCCGGTATCTCTTTCGTGGTTTTTTTTTTTTTTTTTCTTTTTGTTGCACTTATCTTGAGCAAATCCTCCCTGTTTAGAGGGAGGCAAACCATGCCATCAAACCACAAGAGTCCCCTAGAACCAACACGTGTCCACGGCCAAATCCACCTTAGATTTTTTATCATAAACTTTCATTAGATTGATACTTATCTGATTAATTTTTGCATTAATTATACTTTCTCCCAATTCTTTAAAATAATTATATACCACTCGTTTCATAAAATTTAAAAAAAAAAAATTGAAAAAGTTAAAAAAAAAAAACTAATCCCTAATTAAATTCACTAAACCATAACATCTAATATTTACGCTACTCATATATATATATATATATATATAATTTTATGAGATATTTAATTAAATATTTAAGATGCCACATCTTAAATTATAATAATTAAAATAATATTATAACCAATATTACTGTATGTCATAACTAATAACACAGTAATTATAACTAAAAACACAAAAATCATAACCAAATATGAATATAATACACAACAATAGAATTTCCCTTACCTTACCTTGTATCTTAACTTAAAAACTCCTTTACTATATTTGGTTTTAATTTTCTAAATTCAATAATTTGGGAATTGAGTTTTTTCTTTAATGAGTATTTTTTAAATTTTAAGTATTTTTTAAAATTTATTTAGATGTACCTTACTTACATGTATCTAAAAAGTAAAATATTTATGAAAAAAATATTTTAAAAAATTAATAAATACACAAGAATATAAAAAATATACTGAATTTTTATTTTTTTGATATTTAGGGAATTTTTTAAAGATTTTTTTTATAAATATTATGCTTTTTAAGTGTATTTATATTAGGTATATCTAAAAATTAAAAATAAATAAATAAAAACAAAAAATTAAAAATTAAAAGGGCGCTTAGGCTTCGTTTGACAATTATATGTTTTAACCAAAAAGTTAAAAAATTATTATGAATTATCATATCACACTCTCTACTTTTCTGCACATCTTTTTATAAAAGAGTTTGACTTCCCTCTAGTCTAATCACGAACTGAAAGGTGCTTTTGGGCCCGTAGAGGCCCACCACAAATCATGTTTTGATAATCTGAACCGTTCAACATATAGAACTCGTCGAGTATTATATAGCTGTAAAAAATCACGTTAATCGGATATCTATAGCTACATGATCAAATTAGTTTTATATAAAAAAAATGAACTGTGAAAAAATAAACGGTTGACAGAAATCTGATCTGATGAAATAGCTATCGATATCCGATTAACGTGATTTTTTACAGACATATATTACTCGACGAGTTCTACACATTGAACGGTTCAGATTATCAAAACAGGACCCGTGATAAGCCCCCATGAACCCAATAACCTCCTCCAATCACGGACTGAAAAAAAGCCAATCCCCTATAAATAAATAAAAAACTAAAAAATTACTATCTATTTGGTAACCATTTCGTTTTCAGTTTTCAGTTTATATTTACAAAAATTTACAAAACTATCATAAAAACTTATTTGATAATTTTTTGAGTTTATAAATGGTTGTTTCAGTTTATAAATTTAAGAAAAAATTGTAAACTCAAAAAATTAGTTTACGTTAGTTTTTAAACAGAAATCTAAAAATTTGACTAACAATTTTTTTTTCAAATATATTTTTTTTCAATTAATTTTTTCTAATTAATTTTTTTTTCAATTATAATGTGTATGATTTCATTATCATAAATAATGAAAAAATAAATATAAATATTTTAGACCTGGACAATTTTTTTTTCTAATTTATATTTTAAACATTTTGTTTAAACCGAATATGTTTGTAATTTATAATTTTTAAAAAATAAACAAAAATTAATTTATAAAATTTTCACCAACATAAATAAAAAATGTAAACGTTACCGAACTTAACCTAAACTAATTTATTTCCAAACTAGGCCTAATAACAGCGACTACTGATAAAGTCTAGATTATTAAATGTTTATAGGAACATCCAATGATCCAACGGCTGTCATCGTTTACTAGATTTATAAAATACACACACGTATGGATCGAGAGATATAGGGGACCATCCAAGACCAACGAACCTGGATGCTTTCCAGGCCACCTTCATTCCCATCCCATTCCATCCAATCCAGATTTTACTTTCAACATTCTTCTTCTTCTTCTTCAGTTTTCTCTTCTCTTCTCTTCTCTTCTCTCAGTCAGTCCTCCTCCTGTTCTATGAAACAAACACAAATACTCATTCCAATTTAGACACAGAAAATAGAGGTGTTTGGAGAGAGAGAAAGAGAGAGGAAAAAAAAAAAAAAAAAGAAGAGAGAAAATGGATGGGGAGAGTTTGAAGAAAAAGGGAGAAAACAAACAAGAGGCTTATCACATCATTCACAAGCTTCCTCCTGGTGACACCCCATACGTTCGTGCCAAACATTTCCAGGTACATATTTATATATAAAGATCAAACATTTACGTTTTTTTTTATTATTTATTTTTTTTATTTTTTATGAAGTGGGTTTGAATCATGTAAGAGTGTCACCAATTCTTCATAATTTTCATCAAATTCAAATTCAATTATTTTATCAAATCGAGAGAGAGACAATTTTTTTTTAATTATTAAACCAAGGAAGAACCAATTTATTAAATTTTTATTTGTGTTTGTTTGTGTGTGGATGTATGGATGTATGTTTGTTTGTTTCTGAGGAAACATAGCTTGAGAAAAAAGAAAAGTTGAAGAAATCAAATGACTTTAGTACTGGGTTGTGGACCGTCAATTAGGTGGACCTTTTTGAGTAATGAATCTGATACACTGATGAGTTGATCTTGGCCATTCAATCTGATAGCAAATAAGTGATTACATAGTCCCTTAACACACCAGTATTTTTGGTGTGTTAGAGACTAAATAATCTCTCTTACTCGTTGGTAACTCGGCTGAGTCATGGTGGTTTGACTCAGTGAGATAACCCCTGCTTTTTCAGATCTAATCAGTTTCTTCTTCTTCTTCTTCACCCATTCTTTGTTGTTTGTTGTTGGATTGTATATCCCAAGTTTTCAGCTTATTGACATCATTGCCACTCTTTTTGCTATTTAATTTCCAACATGCCCTTGGAAAAAAAAAATCAGAAAAAGCAAAAAACCAAAAGGAATCCTAAGTCCCTATGTCTACCCATTGACGTGATTTTTTTATTTTTTATTTTTTAAATTGACTATTAGGGTACAACAAAAGCATTGCAATTGCTGATTTTTCAATTGATTTTTTTAGTTTCCAGCTGACTTACTTTTTAACCATCCATTTCCTTTAATTGAAAGTGGACACTTTATTAAACTACCTGCTAAATTTGGAACAAATATGAAGTAAAGACAGAAAACAACAATATATAGTTGTTTTTGTGTTAATTTGAAACTGTTGTGAATGATATGGAAATTCTTTTTCATTAAATGTCGAGGCATAATACATTTTGATACTTGTAGTAGAGATTTGAGAAACCAATATGATCATTCTTATAATGGATGGTAAGTTGTTTGTTACCAACCCACAAAGCTCATTGTTGTATTATTAGGTTGCTAGGAATTGAACCCTTGAGGCTCACTTGTTTCAATAACAAACATGACATAAGAACATGTTTTAGACAATCAAAACCCTCCGTTTGGTTTTTCGCATTCCTACATGCCACTGAGATTTTATTCGAATTTGGATTATGACATGCATCAACCAATGTAATTTGGTTTCCATATGTCTAATTTGTGCCCACTTTCACCAACTTTATTACAGCCGCAAATTTATATTATGACATGCATCAACCAATGTAATTTGGTTTCCATATGTCTAATTTGTGCCCACTTTCACCAACTTTATTACAACTACATATTGTTGCTGAAAGATGATGCACCTACACTGAATTGTGCAATATAGACCTTTTCTTAAACTTGTTAGACCTTTTTTCAAACTTGTTCTGCTCTTTTGACTGCTCGTGCATCTCTTTTTCATTTTTCAATTTATTTTGACTCATTTTACCTCCATGCTACTTCAGTTAGTTGAGAAGGATCCAGAAGCTGCCATAGTTTTGTTTTGGAAGGCTATAAATACTGGAGATAGGGTAGACAGTGCCCTTAAAGACATGGCAGTCGTCATGAAACAACAAGACAGGGCAGAAGAAGCAATCGAAGCTATCAAGTCCTTTAGGGACCGCTGCTCCAAGCAAGCACAGGAATCACTAGACAATGTCCTTCTTGACTTATACAAGGCAAACAGACTGTGATCTTGAAAAACAGATAGTTTTCCCTTTTTTCCCTTTTTGTTTTTTGGGGTACATTCCATGGAAATTGATCACTTTAATATGAAATGTTAGTTTTCCTGCAACAAATGTGACAGTATTGTGTTTTAAAGCTATAGAGTAAATCTGTTTTCTATGTTTCTGTTTGTAAAATAAACTGATGTATTATTGATTGATTTTGTATATTACAAGATTGATGTGTTGAAAAATATATGATTACAAAGAGATGAACTCTCTCTATATAGAGAGAAATGGTGCATTGGATACCGGCAAACAGACTGTGATCTTGAAAAACAGATAGTTTTCCCTTTTTTCCCTTTTTGTTTTTTGGGGTACATTCCATGGAAATTGATCACTTTAATATGAAATGTTAGTTTTCCTGCAACAAATTTGACAGTATTGTGTTTAAAGCTATAGAGTAAATCTGTTTTCTATGTTTCTGTTTATCTCCTTTTAAAATAATAAATAAATAAATAATACTTGAACAAGGTAGATGCATTTTAGGATTTATGGAAATGATCTAATTTTGACAGAAATGTGGGAAATTAGAAGAGCAAATTGAATTGTTGAAGCAAAAGCTTCGGATGATTTACCAAGGAGAAGCATTCAATGGAAAGCCCACAAAGACAGCTCGTTCCCACGGAAGGAAGTTTCAAGTCACCATCCAGCAAGAAACGTCTAGAATACTGGTAATAATCTCTTCAATGCCAAACTACCTTTGTACTAGTCACTTTAGTTATTATGGTCATGAAATAGCTTTCTTTTTTTCTGATTTTTTTCTCCTTGTAAAAATCTTCCAAAAGCAATGTACTTCCAAATACAGAAGGAAATATGTACACCCTTCCGCCTTCCTAGTTATTGTGCTAAGTGAGCCAACTATTTGCATTTGGTGCAGGGCAATTTAGGTTGGGCCTACATGCAACAAACAAACTATGCAGCCGCTGAGGTTGTGTATCGCAAAGCTCAACAAATCGATCCCGATGCCAACAAAGCCTGCAACTTGTGTATGTGCCTCATTAAACAATCACAATTTACTGAGGCACAGTCTGTTCTTGAAGACATATTGCAAGGTAAGCTTTCAGGATCGGATGACTCAAAATCAAGAAACCGTGCTGAGGAATTGATGAAGGAACTAGAACCGTTGCAATCTGCAGTGTCGTCTTCCACTCCTGCAGGGCTGAGCTTGGAAGATGCTTTTGTCGAGGGACTTGATCAATTGATGAACCAATGGACCACCCCATTTCGATCAAGAAGACTTCCTATTTTTGAAGAAATCTCCCCATACAGAGATCAATTGGCTTGTTGATCTCTTTTACTCTCATCTTCCTTCATTTCCCACTTTTTGAGGTTGTGTTTGAAGTTAAATGTGCTTGCATGTTTTGTATAAAAGTGAGCATGATAGAAATTGAGAAAACAATACAAATCTAGAAAATTTTCAGAGAAGTGTTAATTCACTTGTCGTGCTGAAGAATCCTATGATTCAAATGCAGACAAGCAAGAGGAAAAGAACAGAAAGGAAAACGGAATCTTTTCAGACAGGATGTATAAGACAGTAAGCATCTTCTTGCTAAAATTTCACAACATATCGGGACAAAGAATGTTGATTCATAAAAGTGTTTGCGACGACAATAATGGTAAGACTTATGGACTATACCTCTCTAGCACACGTTTTCTGATGATACTAGAGACCTTAAGATAGCAAGGCCTCTTTCACAGTTTTTGGTTGATGTTATGTGCTCAAAACTAGCCCCTAGTGCCTTACTGGGCTTTCGGATAACATCTCTTGAATTTGATAGGGGGGCGATTTTGCTCATTCTGTAGACATTCAGCAATCCATTGAAATTTGAGCCCGGTCCGGCCCGTTGACAATGTGAATATTCACATTGACATGTTAACATTCACATTAATAGGAGTGTAAAATTGGCCCCCGTCCCGTGGCAACGCGAAACCCGCCCGCGCCCCATGGGCGGGCCGGGTCCGGCCCGTTGACAATGTGAATATTCACATTGACATATTAACATTCACATTGATAGGAGTGAATATTCACATTGACATATTAACATTCACTGCGGGCTAATTTTACACTCTTATCAATGTGAATGTTAACATATCAATGTGAATATTCACATTGTCAATGGGTCGGGCCGGGCCCGCCCCGGACAGCAGGCGGGCTTTTGGCCGTCCATGGGCCGCGGGCCAATTTTATACTCTTATCAATGTGAATATTAACATGTCAATGTGAATATTTACATTGTCAACGAGCCGGACTGGGCCCGTCCATGGGCCGTGGGCAGGTTTCGCGCCGCCACGGGACGGGGCCAATTTTACACTCCTATTAATGTGAATGTTAACATGTCAATGTGAATATTTACATTGTCAACGGGCCGGGCCGAGTCGGGTCCGCCCTGGGCTACTGTCTAGTTTTATACTCTTATCAATGTGAATGTTAACATGTCAATGTGAACATTCACATTGTCAACAGGCCGGCCGGGCCCGCTCACGGGCCGTGGGCGGGTTTCCGGCAGCTACGAGGCGCGGGCTAATTTTACACTCCTATCAATGTGAATGTTAACATGCCAATGTGAATATTCACATTGTCAACGGGCCGAGCCGGGCCCGTTCCGGGCTGCGGGCGGGCTTTTGGCCGCCCATGGGTCGCGGCCCAATTTTATACTCTTATCAATGTGAACGTTAACATGTCAATGTGAATATTCATATTGTCAATGGGCCGGACCGGGCCCGCCCCAGGCCGCGGGCGAGTTTCGCGCTGCCACGGGACGGGGGCCAATTTTACACTCCTATTAATGTGAATTTTAACATGTCAATGTGAATATTCACATTGTCAACAAGCCGAGCCCGCCTTGGCTCGCGGGCGGATTTTGGGCCGCCCACGGGCCAATTTACATTCCTACAAATGTGAATTTTAAAATATGAATGTTCACATCATTAAATTGCTAATCGTTGAAAAAATATTTATAAGGGTATCAAAATTAAATATAAGGGCATAAGTGTCCAAGAAAATAGTGTAAATCAATAAAATAGACTTTATAGAATAAAACTATGCATACATGAGACTAAATGGGTTAAAAAATTCCTTCATAGACTTGTTGGGTTAAAACACTTCTAAATTGGACTTATCAATAAAAATCCCAATTTTATATTCCAAAGGAGAAAATCAAATTCTCCCGTGAAAAAATGATGAAACATATAACAATTCGTAACAAATTCAATATATAATGCTAAATTATGGAGTTAGCCCAATGTTAAGGACTGTATATCTTATTAAGAGATCACGAGTCCATTCTCTCTCCTTTCTAATGTATCAAAATACACATATATATATATATATATAGAAAAAACATTATTTTTATCACCTCTATTTTTAAACAGACGCAAGAAAGTCCATTGACCATAAAACATCTAGAAATAAACTCATTATGTCCAAATTTCAATGAATCAATGTATTTTTGTGATGGAAAATGCCACACGACTCGAGTTGTGCTAGTATAATCTACTTGTTCTCCTATTCTGGATTGGTGTACGGTCATTTCACCAAGATGGTCGCCCTCCCAATTTGAAGTTTTTTTTTCTAGAAGTTTCAACATTGTTGACCATGAATATTCAAAGGGATATACTTGTGATGCTTGGAACCAGCAATAGCAACAACTGCAAAAATCACCAAATGGAATTGGATCCATCAACCAGTCAGTGTCTTCACATGACTGCATCACCAACAAGCAAGCATATCACAAAACGAGCCAAGTAAGAAAACGGCCATAGGATGAGCCTTACGGTGACCTTTGTGAGCTCGTAAGAACCAAATTGCAACACTTGCAAAGCTAAAATCAGAGAAAGCACAACCATAACAAGAAAAACAAGGATCGCAAAACACTCGGTTAATTCTACACACTAGTGTAGCAAACTCCTCTAAAACCTAGTTTAGAGCCAACTTTTCCAAAGCCCATGAAATAATAATAATAATGTTAATTGAAACAATACTAATATGACCAAAAAATAAATAAAACACATTAAAAGGCAGAACTTGAACCGAACCAAACAAGCACTACTTGTAATTTGTAAAAAAGAAACAGATCTATATGTGCAATCATCCAAGTATTCCTCCATTACATATTAAAAAAATGTCGCATGATATGTAGAAGAAAGCCTCATGCATAAAGATTTTTCTACTTTCAAGATAAGAAATTCCTGTGTATCTCCTATACAACCAAATCAAACTACAGGCCTTTAAAAAGGCTCGCAGAAAGGGGAAGGTGTAACCTAGAGCAAGAAATTTGTTAACGGAAATGTCAAAATAGGAGGACGAACCAATCCCAGCAGGACAAACCTAATCAAGTACATTTGAAGCCATGGCAGATCGACAGGAAAATGATGAGAATCAACGCAATGATGATACCCAAAACAATCAATTTTATCTTCATATTCTGGAACCACATCTTCCTCCTTATCTTGGTCCCCTGTTGCCTGAAATCTTGTGCCTGAAAAACAATCAAATTTCAACAATCAAAAATCAAATCACGTCAAAAAACAAGTGCATTAAATGATGGTGGAAACTGTTAAATGTACACAAAGGGCAGGACACAAAAGGGAAGAAAAGAGAGATATGACAAACAAATCGAGAGACCTAGAGTTTGTAGTTCTGTTTGATTTTTATTTCATTTTTTGGAGATTTCTGATTTTGCAGGACAAAGTTATGTACCCAAATTCTTGTTCTCCACTATTCTATGAATTAAGTTTTTCTCCGTTATGTGAGAGAGAGAGAGAGAGAGAGAGAGAGAGATCTAATTTTCCATTTTCGTTCTTGTCACCATATCATTGTTAAGCCATCATGCCCATATTACCCACACAATTATCACCATCACTATACCCACTGTTAGAAACCATCAGAAAGCCCTACCACTAATCATCTCTCACCATCTCAATTAAACTTCAAGATCTTTCCTTTTTGAAAGAGCAGCGCTTCATGTTCAGATATTCTTCTCGGGTTTGACTGGTAATAACAATCAAATTGGCCTGCCGGAATGATCAGAACCACAAACTTGATGTTTGATAAACTGGGAAAGATGTATGAGAATAGGTTTACTAATAAGGGTAATCACAAATTGTTCATCAACTTTTTTCTACTTCATGACCTTCGGCTGTCAAGGAGTATGTTCAAGCTTCTCACCTTGATCAATGTCTCATTCCAGCTACTGAATCAATCCAACAAAATTTAACCCATCAGCAATCTAGGTATGAAGCAACCACTACCACCAATTTCCTCACTGCTAGCCTGAGTCAGACCCAATGAAACACCATCCCCCTAGCAACAAGCCTGCCCATCACCACCACCGTTTTGGCCCCAAACCACTCGTCCATCACCAACTCTTCCACCAGATCACCACCATCTTCATCTACAACTACTACCAATGATTGCCAGCCACCAACCAATAATGATTTTATTGGCATCAAGCATGAACACCAAACCAAATCCAACCAATGTGACCAATCAATGCAAAAGTAAACAAAAATAAGAGTGAGAACCATATGTTTTATAATGTAAATGGAGATTTTGAAACAGAGGAGTCTTTTTTTTTCTATGCTTCAATTTGGCTAGGAATTGCTGAGTAATAAAGATGATAAGTAGGTCGACTCGTCATATGTTGTACTTTTTGAAGTTTCAAATGAACTTCCAAACCCAAGTGCAACATTTCCAAACCCAAATTACGAATGTTTTGACAGTTATAGAGGCAATTTGATTGGCATCACAAAACAGTGATTTGCTTCAGTATTGAAGGTTGATGGTTTTAAGTTTGCTCGGATCACTAAGACTAGCAACTATGAATGCAATAGCAAAGAGATGTCATAATACATCCATATGACACGTACAGATGGTCCAATTTATTTTTTTTTAGGTACATTGGAAATAGACCTTTTATTATATAATGATACAACTAAGATCATAATGGCCATCTTTAACTTTCGTAAGGATAAAAATCAGTATCATCCATAACCTAAATGATGGCAACAGCATTCAGCAACATCTCTTTCCTCACGAAGGCTCATTAATGCCAAAGCAAAACTTATTAAGAACAAGTAAAGCAACGGAGACTGAAATGTATCTACACAATAGGAGTGTAATATAATTTATTTATTTCTATTGTTTTTTTTAAAAGCAGCAGCGAGTGCAATTTAATTTCCAAAACATTAGGGATATGTGTACAATAAACACTCTCTCGTCAGTGTGAGTACCCATTTTTTTAGAAACACCTTGCATCAGCCCTTCAGTAAAACCAATCCAAATTTTGTCCAATAACAATCCCATGCCTTCCAGAAGGTTATTAGCACATACCAACAATTAACTAATGCAATTACAACAATTAAAGATCACCTACAGTCAAATTAATACAAAAATGTATCCGGCATGATTTAGACTGACCTGTGAGCGAAGGTTCTCAGTTTTGTCTACCAGCAGCTCAATCTTCTCTCCACGGTCAAGAACCTACACAGCATTAAAAAAATTGTTTAACTAAAATGTACTGCATGTCAAGCATTAAAAAACATATCTGAAAATATGTTGACGAACTATTAAAAGAAATATTAGAATGTAGCCATATCTGATGTGATATACAAAGACAATTTATCACCGGCATATATTATAATCTAATCTAGAAAAAAAGCACAAAACAAAACCAAAAAAAATAAAGAAAAGAAAGAAACAAAAAAGGACATATGTCATCATTATAATAAAGAGTCAACCACAAGAGCTAAACCTGCTTACCTTCTCAATGTTTTCCATCATCACTCCCTTGACTTCAGAAACCTGAGCCTTCACCTTCGCAAGCTTGTTGATCTCCTCTGGATGATCCACACAATATTGCATGTGCTCCTTTAATTTAGACCTACAATAGTAAAATGAAATAAATAAAAGTCAAGTACTATGAGGAGAAGTAGCAAAAATTCGTCCACTTTCAAGAAAGACAAGAAAAGATACCCAAACTCTTTGTTCAAGCCCTTGGCAACAGCAGTTGCAGCTTTCCCTCCACCATATCTCTTGTTGAAATCCTCCTTAACTCGCTCCAAAAAGGCAATAGGAGTTTGTCTGCCAGCAGATTCAACCGCAACAACACAGTAGGCTGCAATGACCAACATAAAGTTGCAAAGTTAATAACATATAAATAAATAACTACACATGCTATGAAAAGTATTGGAAAAAAGCGTTAAAAAGTTACAACCAGAAGGAACAAAAACACTGGCTGTAGATTGCCTCAACTAAAACAGATATGAAAACTTTTATATTCTAGAATGCAGCAAAAAGTTCAAAGACTACAAAATACAAAAGGGGGAACTGTTCATTTGACCAAATGACTACAATACAATGTGGTGCCAAGTTTGCAACAGAGATATTTGATTCCCTGCAGATGAGCATTATCCACCTGCCATAATTTTTCTTCCACCACAGAAAAAAATACACATTTCATTTGGAGAGTAATCAAGAAAACTCTTGAATCAGCGAAATATTCAAACTATTTGAAACTTTCTTACCGTTGATGCAATTATGGTAATAATTAACAGAATACTAACATAAACACAGAATCTTTAAAAAATTGTTTCAATTATCGCAAACTACCAGAGAACGCAACCACATAGAATTGGAAAAAACATTTTGAGCAATACAAATAACTTCCAAAAGCAAAATTGGATGTAACCATTCAACTTCTACCAGGGTATTAAAGTAACATGGATAAATCAAACAATTGATGGACAGAACTACTGACTGAGGCCTCGTTTGGGAACCAGCCCATTTAGCCAAAAGCCAAAAAGTTACTAAAAAAGCCAAAAAACCAACAAATCATACCAAAAAGTCAAAGATTCTCTTTTCTCTCTACTTTTTGCACATTTTTTCGTAAAAAGCCAAAAAGTCATCTCAAACATACTAGTTTTTTTTAGCTCATATTTTAGCCAAATAGCCAAAAAATTACTAAATTAGCCTGTTCCCAAACGAGACCTGAGAACACGCTTCAGCCAAGAGCCAAACATGAGACACAGCACCCAATTTCATGTTGACTACCTTAAACCCTAAACTAGTAGATGTTGAATTGGAATGATTTGTAAAAATAAATCAGTTGAATGTCCTCAGTTTTGTAAATGGTAAAAGAACTTTAGCAACATGATTAATGGTAGCTTCAACAAATAAATTTCCTTTTTTAAAGACTCCAAAAATAGAGCATAATTTTGCATTTATCACAAATTTGAGATCTCTCTCTCTCTCTCTCTCTCTCTCTCAGCATGTCTATGACGATTGCCGATGCTCAACAATCACCGGTTAGGGTTCTCACTATCTCTGAAACGATTGCTGATGATCGACCTGTGTGGTTTCTCACTCTATCTGCGATGGTTGACCAATTAGGGTTCTCTGTTTTCTGTGACAATAGCCCACACGTTTTGATACATTTACACTCCTCTGGCCTCTTATTCTCCCTCTCTCATCTGGCATCTTCTCCTCCTGTAGCCTCCTGTTATGAAATTATTGTTGGTAGTTCTCACAGTTTGTAGATTAGATTGGTGCGCCTTTTTAGTTCTTTCCTTTTAATTTTGTTTGTAATAGTTGTTTGTCATTTGATGCATGTGACAAAGAAGTAAGGGAACTAAAGAAGGTTTGAGAGATGTCATTGAATTGGAGTTCTTTTGGTTTTGGCATTGAACTTAGATTTGTAGATTTGATCCTTAACTCATTTTGGAATTAAACTTAGTTTGTACCTTTCTTTAACTTCTTTTTTTTCGTTTGATTTTTTTAATTATTATATATATTATGAACTACTACAAAATATAAATATATATATATACATATAGACATATCCATACACCGTACAGCATCTGTACCCTTACCCGTGCTTCATAGCTTCGAGGAGATTGGACCTCCAACAAGATCTACTCTAGGAGACCTGACCCAGTAAAGCCTCAAAGAAATTTTGATATTATCTTCCTTATATGGCATCTTCACATAATTATAGGCTAACACAAATTCAAGAATGAAAGTCAAAGGTATACAACCCAAGTTGTTTCCATAAATCATACAAGTCAGGTTCCTAAAATCTCTACCAAAACAGATTATCAGTTCCTAACTTTTCCAAACAAGGAAATGAAACCCAACAATTGATACAATTCTATCAAAACGAATCATCCAAAAAATAAAATTTTTAAAAAAAAAAAAGGACCAAAATGGGTATATGGTCAAACACACGACATTCAAGATCAAAAACCCAACATCAATTTCCATAATATGATTGATTAAACACATAGATCACATAAAAAAGAAAACAAAACAGGTCAATCCATTTAAAAAGAAAATAAAAAAGACTCACTGAATCCATTTTCAACGAGGTAGTTGAAGGTGTGGCCATCGCAATTGTAGGTGAACTTGTTGTTGCTAGCGGGGAGCTTTTGGAGGCACTGAGAGGCGATACTGGTGAAATTGCCGGTGAACTCGGTGTATTCGACGAGGATCACGGTGCCTCGAGCGACAAAACTGTAGATCAGAGACTGTTGGCCCATTTCTTTCTGAGCAAAAACCCTATCCCTACAAGTTGCAGAAGAGAGAGAGAGAGAGAGAGAGAGAGAGAGAGAGAGAGAGAGAATGAAGAAATGGGAGACAAGGGACGATGGGATCGGAGAGAGGAGAAAGCTGGATTTGCGGTGTTTATATTTGGGGAAGGAAGGAACGATCGGCTGAAGTCGTATCGTATGTAAATGTAGCTGCAGGTTCTTTCTTCTGTAAATCAGTCAAATGTGCATGTATTTTTTTTTTTCAAAAAATAAAAATAAAAGTCATGAAAATATTAAAAATAAAAAATTACATAATTTTATATTTTTTGAGATATAATTAAAAAATAAAAGTCGTAAAACACCTCCAACGGTTCATCTTTTTTTCACTAAATTTGAGTACAATTTCTTTTGATATCAAGTGTACCAACAGAGTTTCAACAAACCACCGATCGACTGGCCAATATAAATTTTTCACAATTTTTTATCTTGAGGTGGTTATCTGATAAAACATTAAGTTGTGAAAATCCAATGACGATGAACAGTAATTTGATAAAATACAAATCCACCTTCAGTTTGATAAAAGATTTGAAAAAATCTGAATTTGATGATCTATTTAATAAACGGTTGGAGCGGCAAAAAGTAAACTTTTTCATCAAATTTAAATTTGATGAACAATTGGAGATGGTCTAATTAAATAATATATGATATATAATTAAAAATTATTAAATCATAATGAATATAAAATCATAATTAAATAAAAATAATAATAATAACTAAAGAATAAAAAATTGCATAAATTATAATTACATATGATAAGGGATGTGTATATTAAAATTTCCCTTCACAAATATTATTTTAATTGGGATAAATTATTATTGGAGGTGAAAAAATATTTAATTCTTAATTTTTGAAAGTGTGATTCTATAATTTTGTATATATATTTATTTTGCGGAGGATATTGAACATATGTTATGACTTTGTCCAAAAGCCATACAGGTTTGGTGTCAAATATTCAGCAAGGATTGGTACTCGGTCATTCAGAATGTGAAATGAAAGAACAAAATTCCTCACCTGTTCCTCATCTTAAGCTGGACTATTTGGAAGAATCCTAACAAAATGATTTTTAAAAATAAACATACAAATATTAATGAGTGTTTGAAAAGTCAGATTAATCTAAGGAAATTTTTCAACCTTTCAATTTAGATATCACAACACTTCTCAAATATAAGAGTCTAACTGTATAGTCTTGTCCAAGTACATAAAAAATCAAGCTCAATACATATGGTAACACTTGCCGGAATGCAGGAGGTGGCGGTTTTGGTGGACTATTCCAGGATGAGAAGGGAGCATGGATTAGCGGCTACTAGGGGAGACTCGAGATATGCACAGGTCTTGAAGCGAAAATTGTTGGAAAAATGGCTTTAGAAAAATTCTTATTTTTTGCTAACTTTGAGTATTAATTAAAGTGGGACCCAAGCATTCTTTTTAACTTTTTTTATTGGGTTCATGTTTAATGTCGCGTAAGGAATAAAACCGTGTATTTGATTACTTAAAATCATTTCTGGATGAATGAAAATTCAACGTGTATTTTCGGGTTCGTAAAAATAGATTTAGGTGGGTTTTCCTACACATTTGTAAAATGTGCTTGCCCTATATTAGAAAGGCTTATGGATTTGAATATGTTTATATACCTTAGATTGGGATATTATGGATGGGCCCCAATAAGTACTCAAGTTTGTGAAATGGTAAGGTTATCGGTAAAGTGGGCTAAACTTATTGGACCCAAACACAAAAACTACACACGCGTCGCCGCCCGTCTGATCGGACAGGTTGGGCCTGAGTGTGAAGTTGGGTTAGGCTTGTCCGGCTCAATACTTATCTTTTTGGAACAAAAACATTTCAATTTTATTTATTTATTTTTATTTTGGGTTTAAAAGATTAAAAAAAAAAAAAATTTTGGTCCATAAATTTTCCTTTACCCAAACAGATCCCTAACAGGTTCAGACCCACCCGAACAGGTTCAAAGGCCTCGTTTGGGAACAGGCTAATTTAGTAACTTTTTTGCTATTTGGCTAAAATATGAGCTAAAAAAAACTAGTATGTTTGTGATGACTTTTTGACTTTTTACGAAAAGATGTGCAAAAAGTAGAGAGAAAAGAGAATCTTTGATTTTTTTGTATAAGTTGTTGGCTTTTTGGCTAATTTAATAACTTTTTGACTTTTTTGCTAAAATGGAGGGTTCCCAAACGAGGCCAAAGGATTCAAAACAGGTTCATACCTGTTCAATTCAAACTGAATCTATTTGGATAGATTCCAATTTGTCTAGTACTTATTCAATCTATCTAAACAAGTTTCTACCTGTTCGGAATAGCCATTATTTCTACTATAAAAAGCCCTCAATTCCAGCATTTTGTATTCAATTTTTCCTTAGAATTTCATCATTCTTCTTATGTTCTTCCTGTGCTATTGCATTTGTTTCTGTATTTATTTTTTACGAAGAAAAATAAAGAGTTACAACAGAGTTTTGGTTCGCCAAACTTGAATTTGTAGTGTTGCAAATTTAAGTGTTAGTCGTTGCATCCTAGGAAGTAGACACTGGTAAAACATAGAGCACCGGAGCGAGAGCGAAATCTACTTTAAAGAGATTATGTCCAATACAAGCCTTGACATTAATTTCTGTAAGCATTTAATTCGGAAAATAATTTATATAATTATTTTATTTTATTGTTTATTAAATTTATACATTTAATTTACATACACGCACCACTGTAGGTATAATAGAACTTTGGGCTATACAAGGGACATACAATCATACTCCAACGAGGTTTGAACCAAGTGATAATATAAACAGATGCAGAGCAAATGGCGCGACTGTTGAGTGAAGAATTGGGAGACAAATGTCCTTTTCGAGGCATTATGAATGATGCACGCATCATCATGAGAGACTGAGATTGCTTAGGGTTGGTTTGGGATGTCCTAAAAAATTGCACTTTTTGACTTATTGGTGGGTTTGGGTTGGGTTTAATGTGATGTGTTAGAGAGGTGATGTGATTTAAATAAGATGATGTGACTTAAATAAGATAGTGACTTTTTGACTTTTTAGCTTATTTAGTACATGCCAAACTAGCCCTTAATCCAGCACATCAAGTTGGGAACCAACATATGCGCTGATGCCTTGGCGAAATTAAACGAAACTCAACCAAGTGATCTTCTAATTGTCAATGCACCACCAGTGAAAAATCGTAATATACTAGTTACGGATATTGTGCACATCTTTGAGGAGGGAAATAGGGCGTTGTCCTAGCTTGTTCGTTTCACTACCCCGATGTACCAAAAAAAAAAAAAAATTTTTTTAGTCATATAAACTAAATTGTAAATTCACCTTTTTAAGTATGGAATAAATTTCGCATTACTTCGTGTGGGGTACTCCGGTTTATATGACATTTAAAAATAACAAATATATATATATTTTTTAATTATTTCGTGGTAGGTCACCTTCGTATAGTTAGGCCTCTATTAAGAAGTGTCGAAAAAAAAAATTATTAGTTTATTTAGATCATATTATTTTTGAAAAATGATTCGTATCTCGAAAATATTTTGGGTCGAATGGCCCGACTGCCCAAAACAATGTCGTTTTGGGCAGCTTTTTCCCCCTATTAGATATCTGAAAACAGAGGAAGAGAAAGAGAGAGGAATAGAGAAAAAAATTGAAGAAAGAGAGATAAGAGAGAGAGCTCCACTAGAGATTGAGTTTCTTAGTATTCTTCTTATTTTTGCAGGGTTTGAAATTGATGGATATGGATTTTCACAAAATCGTTGGATGTTGACGATGTTGATGAAGATGTTGTTGTTGATGATGATGATGTTGATGAAGATATTGTTGATGATGATGATAATGTGTTGATAACGACGATGTTGATGAGGATGATGTTAATGATGATGATGTGTTGTTGACAACGATTTTTCTCTTTTCTCTTTGTGTTCTTCATCTTCAAAGAGGAAATAGAGAGAGAGAGAGAGAAATAAAATAAATAAATTTCAAAACGACGTTGTTTTGGACTCGGGCCATTCAAGCGGTCTTGTTTTCGAGTTACCAATCGGAATTGATTGGTTGTGTTTGATTATGTCTTCCAAACACATTTCCACCCACTCATTTGAGTGTAGTGTTTGTTTTGAGCTTTAAAATTATAATTCTACACCTACTTTTGAAAATTCGTTTGCTAGGTGGAAAAATTTAGCTAACCCGGTCATCCTCTTAGACGTCACCCTAGATATCTAGCGGGTTGACCAGAACAGTGTTTTTTGTTTTTTTCCCCCCCTCTTGGGCACTGGTTATTTTTATATTGTAAATAAAAAATATTTTCAGAATTTTTTTAATTTTTATATGAGCTTTGAGTAGAATTTTGGATTGTGTGTTTGGTTATGAGTTGTAAATTTTTTAATCAAATAACTTTTATAATTTTAAAAACTCAAAAAATTCTCTCCAAAACTCAATTCAAAACTCTTTTTAAAACTCATAACCAAACAAATTTTTCACACTCAAATTACAATTTTAAAACTCACAAACTCAAAATACAATTCTATTCTCAAATCATATTTAGAAAATTCTATCAAACGTTACCATTATTTTTTTAGTTAAGCCTTTTTTGAGAAGTGTTAAAAAAAATTAGTTTATTAATTTATTTATATCACATTATTTCTTTATTTTTTGTATGTCTTTTTTGTAATAAGTTTTTTTTTTTTTTTTGGCACTTCATAAAACAACCCTTAAACAAGGAATTTTTTTTTTTTTAATTTCTTGAGCAATATCCCAAGCTTTATTATTTTTCACTCAAATAATTTGAAATATTATATTACTCTTATCTATTTATATTTTTACTTTTATGTCCATGTACTATGTCTTATTTGTTTATGTGTCATCTATATATCCACTTAATTTGTCTATCGATCAAATATTGCCACAACCATTAGTCATTGGCGGCAAACTTTTTTTGGCCATTTCTCAGTGACTTTTCTCACAACCAATTGGCAGTGGTTTGGCAACAATAGGGTAAAAATGAAAAGAAAAAAAAAAAATCCTTCAAACAAAGAAGTCATTCTCATCAAATAATTTTATTTATTATGTCTTATTACAAAAAAAAAAAAAAAAACAATAAATTTTTGAACTTAGGCCTCGTTTGGGAACCCTCATTTTTAGTTAAAAAGTCAAAAAGTTATTAAATTAGACAAAAAGTCAACAACTCATACAAAAAAGTCAAAGATTTTCTTTTCTCTCTACTTTTTGCACATCTTTTCGTAATAAGTCAAAAAG